TAGTCATTGATTNTTGTTCAATTTCATCAAATCTTCAAATGTGTTCATATCATTTTAATAGATTAAGGAAGGCTTCAGGATTATTGGAATCAATTTATTGTTTATTGAAATTTTTTCATTTTTTTGTAGCAAAATATATACTCTGTGAGTCATATAATGTGTTTATTTATACTTATGCTCTGTGCACATCTATTTAGCCATCCAACGAAACCCATCCACTCATATTCCCTTCTTTTTACCTAGCCTGTTTGAGAAGTTTGAGACACTAAATTATAGGTTGACAAGAAAAAAGAAAGAGAAATGAAGTACTGTTAGTAGGTATAATTCGTTAGTTTCTTAGATACATTTGCTTAACTAGAATGAGCTGTATTCGTAACATCATTTGCTCTGACTTATCCTAGCATTATTATTTATAATTTAGGTAATGTTTTGGACATATTAATAAACTTTATCTTACACTTGTTTTTGAAAAGGAGTTCATGCACCAAAATTACTGTATTTTTCAGCGTGAGAATTTCATCTTTCGGATTTCTTCTATTGGATTTCGTACAAATTTGGAAGCAATTTAGAATTCCTTATCCAGTGCAGACCATATTTTTATGTTGCCCAGATCCATTTAATTTTGTTACGAACTGGACCGCTGGCATAGTTTAGCTACTAATCTAGTCATGGTATAGTAATACCTTTGGCAAAGCAATTCCAAATTTGACGAGAATGATTCTAGTCCTTTAGTTCGTGATTTAATCTGTATATTCTAAATATGCTACACTTGATGCATTAGTAAAAACATAAATTTCCATTGTTTTGAGGTCTGTTACAAATCGTAGTAGTTCCTCTACGTTTGTTGGCCATTCACTGGTGGAAAATTCCCAGTATTTTTTTGTTCTCTTCACTTCACATAGGTTATTCTTCCATATGTTTTGGAGGGATAATTTGAATTGCATCGTTCTGGGAACTAAGAATCCCAATGGGTAATATTAAGATGCAATGAATTTTAGAACCGTGTTTTAGTTAATTTTTTCCCAGTCCACAGTTTTAGAATTGTTTTTATGATATCCTCATTGGGAATTTATGGGATGCCAAAGATTTCCTTTAAGCCTATTTCAGCCCTATCCTGGACTGGTATCTTCATATTGAAGTCTTGATCATTTCAAAGGAATTCTCGGATGTTCATCCCAGCTCACTGAAAATAGATTTCATTTCGTCATAGAAAGTTTCTTTTATTCCTTTAGATAATATGACTTTATCCATATAGAAGTTTTTTCTGATTTCTAAAGCATTCTTGCTACCTTCAATTTTCAGATAATAGTTAAATGTAGCTGGTAATAGGAAGAGAGATGATATCACTTTAAAAGATACTCTAATGAAGCGCTAACCACGTTTTCTTCAGTGACTTGTCCACAAATATCCTTTAGCCAAAGGAAACGGCTACAATCTTTTTCTGAAGGATCTCTCTCTCTGAGAAACACCTTTTCTACATTCTCTACTATTATATTTTCCATCATTCGAAAACGAAGTACTACTCCCACTAAATTTGGAGGTATTATCAGTCCACGATACAAGATATCATTCAGAATTTTAGTTCCTTCGAGATGATTTAGTTGAAGTTGTAAATTCATAATGGGGCAAGTAATGAATATGATCAACCTGATCCTTATCATAGTATACTTGTTCAATTATATTGGAACATAGTTGTTCATACATTATTTCATCGTGTTGTTGAAGTAATTATTCGTTAGTCTTAATCCTTTTTATTAGTGTTTTCAGGCGACCCAAATATAAGCCATAATTATTGTTCAATTTGACCCTTGATTCTTTCCATGGCCAGCTGATTTGATATTCTTCCATTGTATTTGATAATGCTTCTTTCATATTGTTTCAATAAGCTTGTTTACCATTATGAGCATTAGGTGATTTCTATATGTTTATGAATTCGAGTTTCTAAAGTTCATCTATATCTGGAATATTAGTCACATTGGCCATGTTATTTTGGCTTCTTGCCTCATTGAAAATGGAGAATTTATTAGTATGTCCGTCTCAACTATCATAAATCCAATTTTTATATGAAGTAAAGAAAAACAAGTTATAATTTAATAATAAGTTAAAATACCTGTATCGTCACTGATTATTTCTATATATTTATCTTCTTCCTTTTTACTTTGATTTGCTTAAAATATTCTTATCATTCTTTGTTGGTCAATTCGACAAGGCCAGTATGTAGAGATGTTTTTTTTTTTGGATAGTTCTTTTGACCCCGTATTCTTGCCTTAATTCTTTTACTGATGATCATTAATCTAGAGATTGTGAGGTGCATATCTTTGATTTCTTTGAGTAGCTTCCCCAATTTTTCTTTGGCCACTTGACCGTTTCCACTTGTGTTAGTCTCACTAATGGCACCAAATTTTTTGTCGTGAAAGTAGCGTTTCGTTGTTTTATTAGTTGGCAACAGAGAATGGTTCGGCAGGAGGGTTGCTAAGTTAGAAGTATTTATTCTTCTTCTAGTTAATAAACAGGTATCACCGAATGATACAGTTGCAGCCGATCACTAGATTGATTTGGAAATTCTTAGAGAAATATTTGAAGGATTTCGGAGTGCCCTGTCCTTCCAGAAATAGTAATCATGGAACTGAAGCCAAGTGATTGACTCTTCTGTTTATATAGTGGAAGTGATTTACAAATTCGCATAAAGCACATATCATCCTTTAATAGACCGGAAGAAGATTACAATACAGGAGTTTTATTGGCTACAGTAATTTGGTGTGGGAATATAAGTTTGGTTAATATATTATAATATATTGAAACATCTTCAAACAAGGAAGACTGCCAACATCATATGGGCTTTTGTGTCAATGGCAGTGAGTTAAAAAAATTTGAACATTGCAAATAAATTTGATTATCAGTTAAATAGAAATGGAAGTTGGAAATGATTCATTACTTTAAGACTGAAACATTTATATTATTATTTTTGTATAATGAATCAAACATCTATCTTAAAAAAAAGAAAAAATTATTCAGATTACAACAACTTTTATAGACCATATTCATATTATTGTAACTGTTTTTTATTCTTTATTTTTTTTGAGATATTTGCACTACAAAATGCTTTGATTTGATTGATTTTCCCCGACAGGAGTAGTGTAATACATTTCGTAATATTAATTTCTTAAATTTTGTAAAAAGTTATCAACAAACGAAATCATTTTGAATGGTTTGACAACTGATTTTTGTTCGGTCATATCCAGTATTGACACTCAATTATCGAAAGCTGAAATTCCCTGAATTACCATCGCATTCAAGTTGTTCTAGAGACTGGAATTCATTTCATACCACATTTGAGGCATTCTCTGCTCTTGCAGAAAGTGGTACCGAGATAACGCTAGAGAATCCGGCAGGCGATTTTATTTGTGCAACTACCGTTAATCTCCAATGTATGTGTGTCATGCTTTCGCTAACTTTCCCATTTCTGGATATACTCTAGTCATATTATTTAGCTCTACTTAAATTTTTCTTTCAAAGGTAACATCCATATAGACTTATCCATGTTTTTTCTTTATTTTTTGATGAGATGTATATTTGTATATATTTGATATAAGCAAACTACACGTGCAAAAGTTTGAAATACGATGAAAATAAGAGGATGAGTGAAGGGCAGATTATGATGATCTGTATCAAATATATTTCCTCTCAGTTAGGGTTGAGAAATTTAAATCTCTACTCCTTTATACCGCAAGAATACTTTTTACTTGTTATTTATCAAATATTTGAACTATGTGTGTATGCGTTAGAATGTGTATATTTGTGCATCTTTTTCTGTGTTACGAAATAACAGAAAGCATGGAATACTTCCAAATAGTCTGTTTGTTTCTTCTTCATTTGTAATTTAAAGCTTCATTAATTTTACCAACATGCTTTGCTCATTTCATCTTTCTTGCAAATATTTGTTCATAGGTATATTAAAATATTTCGTAAACTTGATTTAAGATATCGGGTTGAATGTTCTTGTATTAAAAGCAGATCCGATATATAAGCCCTTGTTATTTCATTTCGCACACATATTATT